AGCCTATAATTAAGCGGACTAAGACCGCGAGCTCCCTACTACCTAGCTTACGCTAAATAGTAGACTATAAACCTCTATTAAGATAGCCCCCTTCTTTATAACGTATAGCTTTAAGCTACCCTCTTTAATCTTATTTACTATAGATATAGTAGTAGAGTAGTATAGTAGTATATTACTAAAGAGCCGCGCTTCCGCGTTTATATAAAAGCTATAAGAAACTATAGAATACTATTAATCCGCGATAGCCGCTATAGTATAAAATTAAGAGCGGTACGCTAATAAGACTAAGGCGCTAGTAAATAGGTTTATAATAAGAGATAAAGTATAGCTCGACCTCTATAATTATAGGTTAGCGCGACTAAAAAAGAAGTTAAACTAGCTATATATAAAGTTTATAGTATAAAGGGTCGTTAGCTTATAAGTAGTTAAGCTTAATAGTCTCTTAATAGGGGTCTATAATAAGGTTAACGTTAACCTCCTTTACTAAGCCTCCTTTAACCCGCTACTTAGATAAGAAGTAATAGACGCCTAACCGCCTATATTTAAGGTAAAGGGAGATAATAAATTCGAGGTTAAAGAGATATAAGCTATACGCTAAAAGAAGGTAGGCTAAGGGAAACGCTAGGAGGTTCTTATTAAGTAGTATAGGTACCTTAACCCTATATAAGAACCTATATATAAGTTTATAAGAGCTATAGCCCTTAATAAGTTTAAGGCCTTATATAAACTAGTAAATAAGAACGATAGACTAATAAACTACTAATAGTAGCCTAGGCTAAGACTACGAAGTAGGTATAGTAAAAGGGGTAGTTATAGTAATATAAGTAATATAAGTATAATAGTATAAGCGGAGATAAAAATAGCGTTTATTATAGGGCGGAGCCCTTAAACTACCTAAGCTTATTCTTTATCGTTATTATTATTATTATCTTTATTATTATTATCTTTATTAGCCTCCTCCTTCTTATTAGCGGCGGCGGCGGTCTCTAAGGCGCTAAGGCGGCCCTCTAAACCTATAAGCTAGTTAGTAGTAGCGGCGGCTCTAAGGGTAGAGGGGCGGCGGCTAGCGGCGGCGGTAAGGGCAGCGGCGGTAGCGGAGGCGGGCACGGCTATAGGGACCGCTAATAGGGCGACGGAGGTAGTATCCCTAGCGCTAGGTATATTAAAGGCGGAAATAAAAAAGCAAAAGAGTAGGACTTACTTAAGTATAAGGCCCTATCGCTTAAAGGCGCGGAGGTTATAGTAGGCGGCGGCGGCGGCGGTAAGGTGCTTCTTAGTAGCCCCCCGCGCCTACCTATATAAGCCGGCCTTCTAAGCCGACGCTATAGCGAGTAGGATAGGAGGCGCCGCCTTATAAGCGTAGCCGGCTCGCGCGTACTAATAGTAGCTACCGCTATAGCGGCGCCTAGCTTAGTTAAAGTAGTCGAGCTCCTATAATATATAATATATATAGGGGGCTAAGTAGGCGGCGCCGGCCTATACTTAGCGCTTATACTATAGGAGGTTAGCGGATAATATCTATTACGCTTACCTAACTATAGACTTATAGGGGTAGTAGAGATAGAGGCGGGGGCTAAGGGGCCGGGCGTTATAGGTAGCGGCGGGGATAGCGTCGTTACCTTAAAGGGCGATATAAGAGCGAATAGCGTAGTAGAGGCAGCGGCGGCGGCGGTAGGAGCGGTAGTAGCGGCGCGGGTAAGAGTAGCGGTAACGGCGGAGTCGTCGTCGGCCGCGGCTAGTATAGCGTTAACGAACGACTCCGTATACTCTAAGAAGGAGGAGGTAAGAGAGGGAAAGATAGATATATCTATTACGGAAGTTAGTATAACGGAATACGGCCTCCCGCTCTATAAGGCATAGAACTTACTAGTTAGAGTTATTATTATTATTAAGGCTATTATTATTACTATTACTATTACTATAAGTATATATTAATAGAGCGGCCTATATAGCTAGGAATAAACTAACCCTTTAAGTAAAGTAGAACTTACTTATTAATACTATTACTATAGTTAAAGAAAGGAAAGAAGGAAGGGAAGGGGGAAGGGGGGGATACTACCTTATATACCCCTTAGTAGAGGATATTACCTAAGGTAGAGGGGACGGGCAACCTAAGGCTTACGTAGGTCTAGACTAGCCGCCGGCTACCTAAGGGCGTATATAATAGGTTACGCCCTTATTTAAACGGCTAGCTAGCCGATAAGTATAGAGCTAGGTCCCGGCTACCTAGGCTAATAGGCGCGGAGATAATAAAGCTAGTAGGGCCGGCCCTATTAATAGGAAAGGGTAGGGAAGAGCCCGCGGTATAGGCTTAATTATATAGGAGCCGTTAATAGGGCAGCGCTACGCCGCGCTTAAGGGAGGGCATTATATAAGAGTCTTTAACTATTATAGGTAATAGGCTTAGGCCGCGGCCTAAGCTATATAGTTATATATAGAGGGCCGGATCCTATAAGTATAAGGGCGGGCTAGCCGCGTATAAAAGAGCTCTATATAGCTTATTAATATTATCCTATAAGCGGCACCTATATATACGCCTTTACTTACTCCGTAATAATATATAAGTAATAAAAAAAGAATATCCTTTATAACTTCGTTATAGCTCTTATAGCGCGCCCTTACTACCTTTTAATACGCTACCTTATACTCTTATAAGATCGGCCTTATTTACTATAGGAATAGTACGCTAGCTTTATAGTTCGGCCTCGCCTAGCCTACCTATATTATAAGCGTCTTTAAGATACTATACTTATACTTAAGCTCTATAGCCCTAAATTTATACTAAAACTCTATAAAAATATTATAAGTAGCTATACTATAGTTATTTTCTTAACTACTCGATCGGTAGCTAGGGTAGATGCTTATACTCTTATCTCCTATTTATGCCTTAGTGCCTCTTTATATACTCTCTTCCTCCCTCTTACCCCGCAACCGTTATTATCGCTTTACTTGCCTTCTTGCTTTTTCTACCCCTTCCCCGCTGCGGGATGGTGCCCGAATGGCCGATTTCTTTACCTACCTTCTTATATGCTTTAGTTCCTCGCGCTACCGCCTACTTGCGTTTTTTTCTCTCGCCCTCTGTCTTCGTCTTATTCGTCTCTCCAATCTTCAGTCTTGGTTCCTCAAGGCTCTTTGCGCGACCTATGAGGGGTTGCCTTACCCGTTATATATGCCTTCCGGCGGGAGGGCGTCGTCGACAAATCCTGCCTGGGCCATGACTGGTCAGCGAAACTTGGCGACTCAAAGACGCGCGACGGAATGCTGCAGAGCGCGTCTCAGACGCACCAATTAGGGAGCGCGCTTTGATGGGATTAGTCAGTGGGCGCGCCCGGGCGCCCACCTATCAGTCGCCCAACTGCAGTGCACTAAACGGTCCACACTCTTAGGAGCCGCCCTGCCAGGTTCTTTAGTCAGGGCCGTCAAGGGTTCTTGAATCAATTTCCCACGCTTGGTCCTGTTCGCCCATCAAAACGGACGTGGGAAGGTTGCTAACCAAACGTCACGAATCATGGCGCCGTCGGATTCATGCAACATGTAGACCCCCATCGACCGAGCGGGAGCCGGCAGCTGTGCCCTACAGCGGGGCAACCGGTTTTTGCCAGAAACAAAGTCCTGCAATCTCAACACTAGTTCGCGCCATGGAGCCCGCGAACCCTCTTCCCGCTCTACTCGGAGACATGACGCGGACGCACCCCCCCCCCGAACCGCCTTATGACTGACTGTTTACTGAGTTACTTGTAAGAGTGGTGTCTAGCCATCGACGCTGGCGTTGACGTCTGCTCCCTAGCCAATAAGCAGCCTCGCAAATCGCCTGGTAACCATTCCCTAAGGCCTATATAAGTATATAAGTAGTATCCGGCCATTGTTATTGCTGCTGTCAACCTTTGCTCCCTTGTCGATGAGAAGCACGGGCGTTTAGGCCCCCTGGCTGAAGGCATGCATGATAGACCTAAGATACTCCCCTGTTAAACCCACGTATTAGTAGGTTTCCCCGCCGCCCTGTCCTAGCCAATTTAACGAACGGTATTCGTCTGGATTCTGCATGTATTGAAGTGCAGGACAGACGATCGTGAAACGACGAAACGTGGGGCCGGCCACAAAGCTCGCTGCGTTGAACGGTTTATCCTCGAGCCGAAATGCATGGATATGAACAGACACTCCCATGTGCCAGTCCTCGCGCCCGGGCTGATCTATATGCCACATCATCTTTCCCGCAGCCGCTGCAGCGTCGAGTTATTGCCTTGGTTCGCGCAGCCTGGAGGTCCGAGGAATTCTTGTTGATCGCTGAAGCTTGACAGACGGGCAACATCGATCTGGTACCAAAGGCGAGCTGTTGTTGATAAGTACGAAGTAGTGATTTCTGTTCCCCGAATGCCAGGGTCCCCCTAGCGGCCTGTCAATGTAGTATATGCCTCTCATGGTTGCTCTCCTAGTTGTGAAACAGCAGCAGGACCACTAAGGCCTACCTAGTTGAGGCAATGAATGAAGAGCTGATAATACTGGCAAATTAATCAGGCATGGGGTAGCCTCGGCCAGGTACGACTCAGTAGAGGCCGCATGTGGCTTTAGCTTGCCCATCTCGGTCCATATCGTGCCACTCTCTTCAGAAGCTGCCTCGATTCAACTGTGCCATGAACGACGATCCACAGATATTCCATTCCCTGCAGACTGGAGGCGCTACATCGCTGCTCGACGCTCATGCTTGCTCATTATCACTTGCATGCATGAAATTCAATCAATGATACAGGCTTCTTCTAATATATCCATGCGGGCCACCAATCCTTCGATGGGTATATATAGCAGAGCCAGGGAGTTGATGGCCAAGCCCTTTTTGTTCTCTTCATCTTCACTCTCTTTTCTCTTCTTCATTTCTTCGTCAGTCTCTGTCCACTTCCTTCTGTTACCCTCGACTTGCCGTTCCTTTGTGTCCGTCACACTCCTTGAGAAACCGACAAGAGACCAACGCACTTTCGCTTCGACACAACACTCAACCAACCAACATGCGATCTTCCGTTCTCGCCCTCGCGCTCCCGCTTGTCGCGGCACTGCCCAGTTTCCATCCCACCATTGGCCCAGCTGCCGGCGGCGGCTTGGAGAAGCGATGGAAATTGAATAGGGAGAAGGCCTCGAATACTGAGGTCACTCCGGCCGATGTGGCGATGTATAGGAAAATGGGGTGGACTGAAGCGCAAATCCTGCAGCTTGATCCCGAAGCCCCAGTGGGAACGCAATTGGAACGCCCGACTCAGGCCCCCTCTCTACCTCAGACGCTGGGCGGCGACTCGCGTAACCGAGATCCTGGCGATTTAGTTACCAACCGTGTGGGTGGCGGGGACCTGGACAACCAGAACAACAACGCTTGGCCACCCCTCCAGATCACTCAACCCAAAGTTGAAGAGGTTGACAACACCAGGTCGCGGGATGGGACCGCCGGTGGCGAGGACGCTGCTAGCACTCCTAGTACGACTGGCCAAGGTGACAACTGGCTGGACATTGCCAACGAGATTCGCCAATCTTTACCAATCTCGCGGCAAGCACCAAAGAAATTATCTCTTCTTGAGGCAGACCCTGAGTTAGAAGCCGCCGCTAAAGAGAGAAGCGCGGAAAGCGTTGGGAAGAATAAAGAACAACTGACCCATACTCCCCAGGGAAAACTGCGAGGGTCCGAGGTAATGCATTTTGGCCAGGTTAGCGAGTTCAGGGAAGTCTTTTGGGGCTTTCTCTGCGAGATGCCCGGTGAGCTTGGAATCCAGGAACAATGCAAGAGTGTCAAGAACACAAGATCCGACGGTGAGAAAGGTCACGCCAAAGCCGTTACCGAAGGCAGCTTTTCTCGAATCGGATGTGGCCACGCACCGTCTGATTATAACGGTGGTCAATGGACCTGCCAGTTGAAGTAGACTATTTCTCAAGCAGAGGCTTGAGAGCACAGTGGACGAAATAGGGGCATAGAAAGGTGAATTTAGTGATGCATGTCTTGGTCTATCTATTGGGATAAGAGAGGGGCTTATATAGGTACAGTGACCACATATAGCTAGCTAAAAGAGGGCATTGAGATGTTCCTATACCTAAGTCAGGCCTATAGAATGTCCTTGGGCTAGGGGAGTCATATTAGTCAGGCGGGCTTCCTTATGCATGATTATTAGGTCTACTAGGCATAATTGTGGCATCTTATGCCCCCTCTCCTCAATACACCCCCTTGCCACCCTAGCTTTCTAGATAGTGGGGCAATAGGTAGAGGGGCGTTCGGTCTAATAAATATGAGTATTGCTATTTACACAACAGCATATTGCTGTTTGCACACTTACCCCATTTTTAAGATACGTACTAACGCCAGCCCGCCCCGCCTATTTATACCGCGCGCGCCTGGCAAGTACACGTACCGCCCAAATGCCCGCGCCCGCGCCTTCGCCCCCGGCCGCCCGCCCGCGCACACAACGCACTTTTGGTCACATAACCCCGACTCAACGATCCCTCCAACGCCTGACGAAGCCGGCGGCTCTGATAAAGCCGGCGGCGCGCCCCTCCTGCCGCGTCCTCCTCTTAATCCACTTCCCCTTATATTTCCTCGGGCTAACGATCCTTATTATAACGCTACGAGAGACCGCGGGCTGCGGCTAAGTTTATCAATTGCGGCGTTAGTGATAGCTTTAAATTTAGTATAATATATGTGTTTATATAGGCGGGCGCGGGCACGGGCATTTAGGCGGTACGGGTACTTACCACGCGCGCGCGGTACAAATAGGCGGGGCGGGCTGGCGTTAGTACGTATCTTAAAAATAGGGTAAGTGTGCAAACAGCAATATGCTGTTGTGTAAATAGCAGTACTTATAAATATAAGGCTATTCCGATATTAAATTCGGCTGCCTTACTGTTTATCTAAGGAGGTTATCCCGAAATAGGGGAGGCTCCTAATAGTATCTTATAAAAATAAGGTAAATGCAGTAAAAGGTAATATAGTTCGGTAACTAGTGCTACGTATCCTTCGAGTGCGTGGCACTAGTTACCCCTCTTACTAAAGGAGGGTTCGAACATTAGTTAGTTAGGGTTATATAACTTACTCTTACCGCTTAACTAGTAGTTAAAAGCTATTGCTATTACCCCTCTTATAAGGGATATAGCTACCGTAGGGCTAGGTAAAAAGGAATAGTACGTAAAAGATAAAAGCCGGGACCTAGGGGAGAGGATATAAGGAGAAGCCCCTTATTTCGTCTCCCCTTAGGTCCCTAAGTTTATTGCCCGCGCCCCCCCTAGGGCGTGGTTATATAACCTACTCTTCCGCCCTAGGGGGAGTTAAACTTATAATTAATAGGGTTATATAACCTACTCTTACCGTTTAACTAGTAGTTATAAGTTATATTTATAACCTTCCTTATAAGGAGGGGCATAGCGGGGCATCCTTTAAGTAGCCTAGGTACTATAGTACTTTTCCCGGCGACGTTATTTAACGGTGGCTGCGGCACACACCTAAAGACACACCCACGCCAACGGCAATAGCAGTAGCTAGATACCGAAGGACGAGGGGGTCTAAGGGGAATGAAGGAAAAGAGAAAGCACTAGGCAGGGCAAGGCAAAGGCAAAGAGGGCCAAAAAGGTATATTAGCAGAAGAGGATATAGAAGAAGATAATAGGAAGAAGATGCTAGAAGAAGATAATAGAAGAAGATGCTGTCTGCTAGCTAAGGAGGAAAAGAGACCTCTTTTATAGACCGAATTTTCCCTCCTTCTTCCCTAGACGAATAGGGGCCAAGGGATCATCTGATCAAGAAGAGGGCTAGCCAGAGATTGCCAAGGATCCTGCCAAGGACCCTGCCAAGGACTCTGCTGCGCGGGCTGTGTGTGTTCCTTGGGGTATAGATGCCCCCGTCAAACTCCTCTATAACAAAGAACAGACGCCCTCGTCTGCTAGGTAAGCAAGCAGGCAGGCAACAGCCAAGGAATAAAGAAACAGACAAGTAGGCAAGCAGCCGAGCAGCCAAGCAGCCAAGCAGCCAAGAAACAGCCCAACGGGAGACCAAGGGACAGACTAAGCAACGGGCCAAGGAATAGGCCAACTAGAGACCAACGGTAAGAAATAGCAATAGAGGGAAGAAAAAGAGATCCTTATAGGCAAAGGAAAGAAGAAGCTAACGAGGAAGGTAGAGGAAAGAAATCTTAGAGAAAAAGGGGGAAAAAGTCCCTAAAGAAATACCTAGAAAAATCATTCAAAATTCAAAAATTATACCCTCTTTTCCCCTAGCGACTTTTACGTCTAGCTAGCTTTACCTAGGCAAATACCTATACCTAGGAGGAAAATACCGGAGATTGCTGCTCTTATCTTATTTATTTTAGGTATTTCGAAAATGGGGGATTTTTCACACTTTCGTTAAGACTGCTTAAAGGTGCCTGCCGCGTCGGCTACTGCGGACCGTGCCGGGAAGGGCGGAAGGAAGGATCTCTTGCGTGCTATTGTTGCTATCGGAAAGGTCGTCTATCGCGAAAGTCGTCTGCCAAGGAAAAAGGTCCATCGAGGAACAAGCTGTCTACCGTAGAGGAATTCGTCTGCCATAGAGGAATTCGTCTACCGAAGAAGCTGTCTGCTGGTGAAAGGTCCGTCTGCTGTAAAGGAATTTGTCTGCCGAGAGAAGACTGTCTGCTAGGACGTCTGCCAAAGAGGAAATCGCCTGCCGGGACGGAAAAGGTTGTCTGTCGGCATCGTCTGCCGGGAAATCTGCTAAAAAGGGGGAAAACAAGGCAAAAGAGAGGTGCCTGCAGTCTCTGAGTGCGTAATCGGATGGTCAGAATAGGTGCCAAGCTCGTGGGTGCCAAAGGGAGCCGTTAGTCCGGGCCGTTAGTGCTAAAGGGAGCTGTTGGTCCGGGCCATTAGTGCCGAAGGAGCCGTTGGGACCATCTGATCGTGCGGGAAGGAATAAAATCAAAGGAAGCTACCGTGCTAGACGAAGAAGTCTGCCGTGCTAGAGGCGAAGAAGACTGCCGTGCTAGACGAGGAAGACTACCGTGCTAGACGAAGAAGACTGCCGTGCTAGAGGCGCTGCCGAGGAAATTATTAAAGATTGCCGAAGAAAGAGACTGCCGAAGAAGAAGACTGCTAAGAAGACTGCTGCAGAAAGAGCTTATAAAAGACCGTAGCCGAGGGACTGTCGAGACCGTAGCCAGGGAAGCTATCGGGACTGTGGCCGAAGGAGCTGTCGAGACTAGAGCCAAGGAAGCTGTCGGGCTGTTGGCCGAAGGAGCTGTTGGTCCCGTGGAGCTGTTGGTCCCGTGGAAGCTGCTAGTCGTATAGGCTGCAGAAGAAGTTGTCGTATTGGCAGAGAAAGAAAAACCAGAAAATGTCCGCTGCTGCTGCTGGCGCAGGTGTCTTCCCTCCATAACAAAGACCAGACGTCCCCGTCTGCAACTAAAGCAGCTGCCGTAGATAGAGCCTGCCGGGGAGGAAAGTTCGGTTCGTTGAAAAAAGAAAGCTCCGTCTAGTGCAAGGGACTCCGGCTAGGGTAGGGGACTTCGGCCGGGATAGGGATAGGGTATAGGGGCAGGGGCAGGGGCCATGGTCTGGGCCAACGGCTAGGGAAAAAGAAAAAAGTCGGTGAAATCTTTCCCTACCTAGCGCTTATCTCGACGGGAAAGGTGCGGCAGCACCGGCGTAGTTCGTTTAGCTCTGCCCTTTTCTCATCTTCTTCCGAGAGAGAGAGAGAGAGAGAGAGGGAAATAGAAGCTTCACGCTCTAGAGACTAGTTTTAACGGTGGCTGCGGCACATACCTAAAGACACACCCACGCTAACGATAATAGCAGTAGCTAGATACCGAAGGACGAGGGGGTCTAAGGGGAACGAAGGAAAAGAGAAAGTACTAGGCAGGGCAAGGTAAAGGCAAAGAGGGCTAAAAAGGTATATTAGTAGAAGAGGATATAAAAGAAGATAAAAGAGATAATAATAAAAGAAGATAATAAAAGAAGATGCTATCTACTAGCTAAGGAGGAAAAGAGACCTCTTTTATAGACCGAATTTTCCCTCCTTCTTTCCTAGATAAATAGGGGCTAAGGGATTATCTAATTAAAAGGAGGGCTAGCTGGAGACTCTACTAAGGATCCTACTAAGGACCCTACTAAAGACTCTACTATGCGGGCTATATATTCCTTAGGGTATAAATACCACTATTAAACTAGCTTTATACTTATCGGCTAACTAGCTATTTAAATAGGGGTATAACTTATTATATATGCCCTTAGGTAGCTAGCGGCCGGCCTAGACCTATATAAGCCTTAGGTTGCCTATCCCCTCGGCCTTAGGTAGCCTCCTTTACTAAGGGGTATATAAGGCAATATCTACCCCTTTCTCCTTCCCTTCCTTTTCTCCTTTCTTTAACTATAGTAATAGTAGTAATAGGTAAGTTCCGCTTTACCTAAAGTATTAGTTTACTCTTAGCTATATAGGCCGCTCTATTAATATATACTTATAGTAATAGCTATAGTAATAATAATAGCTTTAATAATAATAATAACTTTAACTAATAAGTTCCTTACTATATAAAGTAAGAGGCCGTAATCTATTATACTAACTTCTATAATAGATATATCTACCTCCCCCTCCCTTACCTCTTCTTTCTTAAAGCGTATAGCGTCGTTCGTCGACGCTATACTAAGTATAGCTAACGATAGCTCCGCCGCTACCGCTACTCTTACCCGCGCCCTTACTACCGCGCCTACTACTACCGCTACTACCTCCGCTACGCTAGCTACCCTTATATCGCCCTTTAAGGTAATAACGCTATCCTTACCGCTACCTATAACGCTTAGCCCCTTAGCCCCCGCCTCTATCTCTATTACCCCTATAAGTCTATAGTTAAGTAAGCGTAATAGATATCTTCTATTAACCTCTTAAAGTATAAGCGCTAGGTCTAAGCTA